TGACAAAACGTATAAAATTTATGTAACTATACGAAAACAATTAACTAAATATTTTATATAAAACACCAAATACATGAATTACATCTTTTTTACTTTTACATGTATTACTTGAATAATACTACTTTGTAGGGGTGAAAACAAAAGAATATGTATTGTCAGAACATATTATATATAATTCGCAAAAATCTGTCCAGCCTTCATTGACCACCATCTTCAAACCCGAGCTATTTTTCCTTGAACAAATAACCACATTGTAGGGACTTCAACCTATACACTCCAATTCTATTTTTTTTTTTACAAAAAATACTCATCCGCATGGACAAATTCTTTATTTATATGATATAAATAAAAGTTAAATAAAAAAAGCATAATATTTGAAATGACTATAATACAAACAATAAATAAATAATGTGTTTTTACTATTTGACATATATCATTAGATTTAAGATTTTTTTTAAATCCCAACTTAGAGTTATCAACATCAACCTTAACCACGTCCAATTCTCTTCAACGTAAATAATATGGCATCTCTTTTAAGGAAGTTGCCTCATATTACACACACGACGTTAGCCATGTATCTAAAAAAATAAAAAATAAATAACAAACATAAATTAAATTATAATTTAGTATCAAATATATTGAAAATCGAACCGTAACAATTTACAATAAATACAATGCATTGGACAAACTAATTAGTTATATATTATACACAATAGTATATAATCGATATAACTACAGAAAAAAATAGCATATGAGCCAAACCAATTTTTGATGTGATTCTAATAACTGTGGGTAGAGTATGAATGAGTTGGAATAGGTTTCAAAGGGGTAGTTATACTTATTTTTTTAAATAAAAAAAAGGTAAATAACATGTTGTTAATGAAATAAATATTAAATGTATTAATGGAGTAAAATAATTGATTAATTTAGGGTTAGTTTGATTTGATTTCATAAACTCAATAATTGATTAGTCAGCATATTAAAAAGTAAAGAAAATAAATTACCATAGTAATCGGATATAATGTTATGAGTCGGTTATATACTGCTTATATTTAGGAGAAATCAAATTATGTGGGGGAATACGATGCTACACCCGGTGATTTTCACCGGGTGGCTCTTTTTTTGACATGTGTCCTTTTTTATTTATTTTACAATTATATTTCTAAAACCCATTGGGCCATAACTGAACCCATAGTGGGAATCTTATTAATTAGGGTGCCTGGTTATATTCACCATGTGTAGCATAGAATTTCCCAATTATGTGTTAAACATGTGTAGCATAGAATTTCCCAATTATGTGTTATATATTACATTTAGTTAAACATGTGTTTAATTAGCAACTAAATAATTTCATTGACTTTCCTTTTAGAAAATAATCTCCGGTGATTTGATTACAACAAAAAATGGCAAGTTATGAGCACATACATAACAATGAGTAATTGAAACGAAAAATGGTAAGTTAAAAACGGAAAATCTAATCTTCTAATCCAAATGAAACAAACTAAAAATCAAAATATCAATTAGCTAGTATTGGTCTTAAAATCATTACGTATTGATACGGTTCAAAATATATATGAAAATGATCGATCCAAATTACTATATAATTTCGAATAATTGATTTTATTTCAAATTAAGTTTTTCAAAATTATATTCGAATAATTAATTTGCAATATACTAAAGACCAATATAAATTTCATGACATGTACAAATTAATATTATTCATATAATGTATTCAAATATATTTTATTATATTTCATTTGATTAATTGACATATTACTAATCGGATGAATATAGTACATAATAATGCATTAATGAAATATATTAATATTATTTATAAAACAATATGACTTTAAATTTTTAAAAGATTTTGAATATTATTATAAAAATATGCAATTTATATTTACAATTTGTTTATAAAACACAAATATGAATACAAATTGCACCTAACGAAAATTAATATTTCGGTCATAACAACTTGATATAAGACATAATAATTTATATTCAACTTTTTGACTGTTACAGTACTCATACAAAAAAATTATTGTTGATTACATCATACTCCATATTCTTCAGTACGTAACCATTATTGTTACATAATTTGCACAAATTGGTAAGGTTCTGCAAAAGGAAATAAGAAAAGGAAAAAAAAAACCAATGAAACAATGAACAACGAAAAAATAAAATAACAATATATAATAATAATAATATAGTTAATAAAAATGAAACTATAAGAAAAATAAAAATATAAGAAAAAATGAAAGCAAAAGAAAAATTGGTAAGAATCACATTGGGACAAAAAAAAAAGAACTTTGAATAAAAATGAAAATATAAGAAAATTAGGATAGGAGAAATTAATGGAAGTTGCCAAACATAAAAAAAAATAAAGAAGTAAGGAGAAATAAAAGAATTTTACCGAAACAACGGATATTAAAGAATACAAATAATGATGCGAAAAAAAAAAAAGAAAAAAAAAAGAATGTTAACAATAACATAAAGACAGGATAATAAAAAATGAAACAATATTAATTAAACAAAGAATTTAAAAACAAAAATTTGTTGATACATTGTATACACTTATTTGTTTTACGAAGTGTAACAACGAATATCAATGAAACCAAAACATCAAGAAGAACATAATACATTGAATTCCAATGTGTTAAAGATTATGCAAGATCCAGAGCGTGGAACGACTTTGATAGATTCTCAACATGAGACGCACATACATGAATCGAAATTAGGATCAAAATACGCGTTGCAAATAACACATTGTTTGGACTGAGCGCAAACAATTTTTTTGATCTTCATAAAGTACGCACGACTTTATTTAATAAACTGCATGATATTCGCGACTCGGGTCTGTCAGATAATTAAAC